ATAACATTTACTCTTTGGGCCATTATCTTGGTTGCATTCGCAAAGTCACTAGAAACTTTAAAGTGGTATAAGCAAGTCAACATTAAAATTATATTCAAAAGTTAAGCTGACATTAGAACCCAACAAAGCAGATAAAGGCAACAGGTACACACATTGTATATGTGTGTCATATAGAAATGCAAAAAAAATAAAATAAAAATGCTGTGTTGGTGTTTTATATACCATAACATGCATACATGCATGTACACATAGTCAACCTACACTTACATTTACGTCATTGGTAGGTCCTATTGTGTTGAGCTATACCCTACACTGAAATAGGACCCATGTAGTTCACCAAAAGGCAAGTTTCTATAGTTAAAAACATTTCATGTTTGTGCTCTGCCAACATGCCAAAAAAAAGTAGTTCATTCTGCCAATAGTTCTAGGAACTATTACAAAGTTCCTTTGTTGCAAGCAGAAACGTGTGGAAATTAAAAAAAAAAAATCAATTAGCTGAAACATTTGTTTATTTGTTTAAAAAAAATCAGGTTTTGGTGGTACACGGATTTCAGAATTATGGTGGCCACTTGCAATAACAAAAAAAACACCAGCAAATTAAGGATGTACCCACACTACGTACAGTTGCCTTGAACTGGGTCAAAGCACGCTTGTCCCCCCTCCTGATTCCCCTGACGGCCCGCCCTCACATTACATTCGGACCTGGGCACACTTACGTCATCGATGATGCACTGTTCAGTAGAGAAGATTTCTCTAGTTATATTGCTTTAGTCGTTTGGGATGCGGTGACACACAGTCAAATATTTCGCCGAACAGATCCGACACTTTTGGCGCACATAAACATATGTCATTAAGTCCTCGTGCTGCAGGAATTGGGAGGTTTGCTGAAGGCGTAGCTGTGGTGCGGTGAGGAGTTTGCGTCTTTAATAAACTACGACAGTTTGCGTTCATTAACCGGTAAGAATGATTAATAAATCCATATGAAACAGTCCCTCAAAAGTCACGTCTCGCTTTCAGTTTCAGGCTTAGGCGCGTTTTGCACTTACACACAAGCATACCGCTCCATAGCCCAAGTGAACCGCGATCACACCTTTTCCAACCGGGCCAGGGCCGGCTAAGTGAACTATTGCTGAGCCCAATTCAGTGCACTCACACTTCTCAAACGATCCGGGAAACGGGCCTGCACACGGTTCGGATAGCATAGTGTGAGTAGGCATTAAGGAAAGATCTGTTTAACAACACACATGCTGCAAATCCTCACAATGCATACACATTAATAAATGTGCTGCACTTTTCGACAATACAAACAAATTAATAAAACACGCTGCATTTTTTCACAACGCAAACAATTTACAAAAACGCTTGCATTTTGTTAGCGCCTGCATTCTGAAGTTGTAGGTGATCTTTGAAAGGTGAGTTTTTATGTTTGTTTATTTTAATATCCTAATTCCCCTGTCTTTAGTATTTAGCCTAAATGAACATGTCTCCTTAAACATTTCCATTGTGTTCCAAGCTATTTCAAAGTGTTAAAATGCAGCATGGTTTCGTCAATTTTTTTGTGTTGTGAGAAAATGCAGCGCATTATATTAATTTGTTTGTATTGTGAGAAAATGCAGCACATTTTTTTTATTTGTTTGCGTTGTGTGAAAATGCAGCGTGCTTTTTAAAAATGTGTATGTGTTGTGAGGATTTGCTACATGTGTGCTGTCAAACGGATAAAGATGTTTTCTCAATGTGCTGGCTTTTTTTGTAATTGCATGTGTTTTCTTAAAGTGCAGTATGTTAAGCTCTCTTGGCCACCATATACTTTTTAAACAGAAATAGATTTTATTTACATTAATATAAAAACATATGAAAACTACTACCTGATTGCTAAAAACAATGAACCATGCAATTATTTTAACTTTTTTTTTTATTTTAATTTGGAAAATGTAAATACGTTTTCAATAGCTTTGTGTATCTAAAAAACAAACATGAAACAAAAAAAAGAAACACTCTAACCTTCTCAAGACTTTTAAATGTATAAATAAATGTAAAATATCAAGAAATTTCCAAATAATATTAATATTAATAAAATAAACCTGATAATTGATGGCTCAATAAATATGTTAAAAGCAGCTGGTGTTATTATTATTGTTTTTTATTTAACATGTTATCAAACTGCCAAGCAGGAATTATTCATCTTAGCCATAGTTAAATTCACAGTTCTCTGACTAATAAACTTAGACTGTTTAAGATGAGTTGCAGTCTGCTTTAGGGATGTGCTAGACAGTGACATTCATGGCTGTGTCTGAAGACTGTTATTTAATTATAATTCAGTGTGAATTTGCAATCATCCAGTGATACAGTACACAGCTCTGTTTAATATCCACTTAATACATATGTAGGGTTTTAAGGCATTCTATCTAAACATAGATCTAAAATAATTGATAAAGCAACTGTCTATTATTGGTTTATCGGGTTTTAGTACAGCATGGACTGTCACTGGTAACAGGTTTCAGCCCATCCCTGTTTTATGGATTTTATGTAAATGTAGTCTGGTGTGTTTGACACAGAACAAAGCAACAGACTGTGAGCAACTGAGACGCTCAGACCTGATCCCACTGACTAAGACGTATTAGATCATTGACAACAGAAAAAAATCCATTCTCAGATATGTTTTATGCTCTAAAATCTGAATGACCTGAAAAAATAGACACCTAAAATGATGGAAATAAGACAAACCACTGCAAAAAGAAACTTACCAATGTTCTACATAAACGGAATCATGCCAGTAATTGTGATTTTACATAATTTAAAGTGTTCAAAATGATTTACATTCTGAGAATAGTGTTTTAAATGATGCGCCAAGTTGTAATTCATCTGACACTGGCTATATTCACACATGAACTGAGCAGGAAAGCAAGAGAATGAGGAGGATGTGGATGTCAACAACAATTTTGATCATAATATCTGCTAGAAATGCAGCGTGAACACCTTGTTGTGGTGCATTTTCTCACAACAAGTCCCATAATGATCATGTTTTAGGTGGAGAGAAGATCATCTTTTATGGTTGTTTAAACACACTGTGCCATGAAAATTTGGAATTGGCTACATCTGGAAGTGTTTGAAAGTGGACAACTTTAAAATATTATGTTGCACCTGTATTTATTGTTGTCCACTTGTGGTTGAACTTGCACTTGTGCTAAATTCAAACTTAAGCACTTTTTAAGTACTTTTCTTGTGCATTTTTTCAGTAAACTTTCACTTTCCAGTAAAGTGGCAATATACATATACACTGTAAAACTCAAACATTAAGGTAACTCAAACCATTTGATGAAACCAATTGCAACAAACCATTTAAGTTCAAAATCTAATCCTAACGAGTACTGTGAACTTAATCCATTTGATTAAACAAAGCAGTTTGAGCGCAGTAAAACCCAATAAATGAAAAGAACTCAAACCAACTGAGTACTGAAAAACCTGTATTTGAGTAAAAATAAAAACTAATTTATCTAATCTGTGGACTTACTCCATTTAGGTTAAAGTAATGAGGTATTTATTGAACTCATTATCTTCAAAACTGAGTTCAAAACTCTTTTCAAATGAGTAGAATAAATTTTCAGCAAATTTTGAGTTAACTATACTCTTTTTATTTGATAAAGTTAACTGTTGGGTTTGACAGTGTACACATTCATACGTCATCACATTATATCAGATAGTAATCGTTACTGTATCATATAGTATTCTCAGGAACAATCTTGATGGCATGTTTACGCCAAAGCCAACATTGTATTACTGTCACTCTCTTAAAGTTCAGTTACTTGCATCATACATGTGTCATCTTTTATTTTAAATGTATATTTATCTTCATATCAAACGGCACAGATCAGATTTTTTAATCCAGAACTTTTATTTTAGGCAAATATTGATTTTATTAGAAATAGTTAATAATCATTACCTATTTAGTGAGATAAATTTTACAAAACCAATGCAATTAAATTTCCAAGCAGTTTCAAGCACTTTGCTTAAAATCTAAGCACTTTACAGACAATAGATTCAAATTAAAGCAATTTCAAGGATTTCCCGCACGCTTACTAACTCTAAAAATTTTCATATATAAAATGCATGATATCTATATATGAAAAAAAATATATATAGTAGTCAACATTTGTGTGGATTATCACCTTTCATCAAAGTTGACTATGAAAGTTGTTCTAAAACTATTGAACAGCACCCATAGGACTTTAAATGTTGACTACTGTATATTTAAAAAGGCTGAAGCATAAAAATTAGACGTAACACATCAAAAAATCATTTAAATTTAAGTATTATTTATATTTAAGTATATCGGTGATATTAAAATAATACCTGATTGATCACCTTTCCTCAATTTTACAGTCACAAATGTTACGTATATAAATAAACAACACTAATAAAAGTCAGATTTGTGTGCTGTGATTATAACCAGTTAAAGCACACTCACTGAAACAAAATTCTTTAAATAAATATTTTATTTTCAATGAAAATAAATACATTTTCTTGAGATAGAATCAACAACATTTAAAAAAAAAAAAAAACATTTGTGGGAGCATGGCGACAGTACATGACAACACACAGTTTGGAAGAAAACATACAATCTCATCTGCAAGGGACATTCTGAACAAATCTGTGGGGTGCTTTATGATTCAAGATATACAGACTGAAGAGCTCAAATGGCATTAAAAAGAAACCAAAAATTGAATTTCTTGAAATGGGAAAAGATTCCTTCAGTCAATATCATCTACAGATCATATGATTTTTCAGTTTCTAAATGTGGTTCGTCTATATTTATCTCAAGCTTCACAAATTGCAGAATACCCATATTCGGGGAAGACATTCCACTCTTTGCAGATACGAGAAACTCAGCAGACAAAAGCAAAGTGTAAACTTAATTCCCATTTTGTATGCATCAAAGCTCTAAACAGTTAGCTAAGTTGGAGTTGCGAAACATAGCATATGAACCATTGAGTTGCTTGTGCTTTTTTTTTTTTTTTAGTGGCAACTGTTCACAATCTCAAGCTGTATATACAGCAATTAACCGAGCCAGGGTGGTTAGAGCCGAGGGAGTTGAGCCTGGCTCTGGTGGAACAGATTAACCTACTACTACAGTACGCTGTGCTATTTCCATATCAGCCCAACCCCCACAGAGTGCTCAATACAAGAATTACCAACATAACGACACAGGAAGTTCTCAAACCCAGCAGGGCAGCCGTACACAACTCCTCATTACACCCTGAGCGATAGCAAGCAAATGAACATGTCCATTTTGTAATTATCAGGCCATCTGAGATGACTGACCATGCTGACCTCAATTAAGAAGAAGCTTGTAGGTGTAATTTACATGTAATCAAGTTTAAACCTGCAGTGGAAAGAGAAACAATATTTTGTGCTGCTTCGTGAGATTGGCTTCAATGCACATTAAACTGGTGCTATGGTTAGTGGTTGTTTCAAACAATAGTTCAGGTTGACATTCAGGTTGATTTAGAAACAAATGGAAGTTGTAATTCTATATGCATCATTTGGTTCAATAGAGATCGTGGACCATGTTCTTTACTACAGCAAGAAGCATATTAGAGAACACTACATAACCACTGGATTTTTGATGACTTTGAATCATACAAAGACAGTAGTCTCGTCTTTATTCCATGGAACAAGGTAAGAATGTGTACAGTGAATATCCATCAACATCTGTGTAAAAAAACTATAAGGCAATTTTACAGTTTAGACTCATCAGCAGGGAGCACAGGCTCAGCATTTAGCAAGGGAGGCTACAAAACATTCCACCTTTTTCCAGGCAAGTTTATCTAACACAGAAATAGTCCTGAAAGTATAAAGACATCCTAAGGTAAGACTCTCATTTTGGGTCAGATGTAGCGAGTGCACCAATTCATATACCGTAGGTAGTCATCTTTAAATTTTGAATAGTTGTAGGAGGAATGTTTCATAGTGAAGAACGTTTATACCCAACCACTACCATCTCAACACTCCCTTGCCATTTCAAATGTCATCAAGAGCTACTGGAAAAATCAACCCGATTTGAAGTACCAGCCTTCAATTCCCACAAAACACCTTCATTCATTCATCTTTTATCACAGGATTTGGGGAGAGTTTGAGAGAAGGCAAGTTTCTATCAACACAGATCTTGTCTGCTTTTTTGGTAGATGTCATACATAAATACATTTCTAAATGCTATTGATTTTAGTTGCCCCTGAGGAGGCAAAGCAGTTTCTGCAAAGTTCTACGCAGACTTCTTTTTTTCCCGCCATGTGAAGTTACATTCGACCCTGGGACACTCAACCACTTTCAATCCAGGACCCCCCCATAGGACAAGACAAGGCATGCTCATCAACGACACTCTTGTGTCAGATTCTTCAAAGACTGAAGACAATCCAGAACGTATTTTCTCTCAGTGAAAGCTGTAACTGTGTGCACTACAACATGCATAGCACATCTTCACGTATACAGAGAACCTGACTGTTTATCTTCTCTTGTCTTGTCCCAGCTTCTTCTTGCCAACCAAGTCATTCTTTGTTTCAAGGACCTAAAGCAGAACTTCAACAGCTGACAGTACTTGGCTGCTGCTTGCACACAAAGTCTGAGAAAAAATCAAACTCGTTTTGTCCAAGGAAAAGCTCAGGCAGCTCCTGAACTCGATCCAGCCCAAGTTCCAACACCAATGATGTCAAAACCTCTTCGTCAATCAAGTCTATGTCCATGACGTTATGGCCCAGTGCTGGCCCACCCATCCCCATCTGCATGCCCGCCAACTGAGCAGGACCCATTCTATGCTGAACATTTCCCATGTGATGCCCATTCATTGGGCCAAGTGGGTGCCCGTGGTATGGAGTGTTGAGTTTTTGAAGATGCATGCTTGCCATAAGCTGCTGAGATGCTGAAAGACCCCCACTACCCATATACTGCTGTGGGTGCTGGTTCTGGGGGTGCATATGGTGGTGCTGGCTTTGAGGGTGGCCTTGGGGTTGTTGATTTGGACTTGCATACATCATATTTGCTTGCTGCATTTGGTGAGGGTGTCCGCCACTCATCTGGCCATTCACCTGACTGTTCATGATGCCATTCATCGCGTTCCTCTGCCTCATGGCCACCTCCATTGAGTTCTGAGGCCCCCTGCTGTAGTGCATGAGCTGCCCATTGGGAAGTGTGCGCAGACTGGGCTGGTGTCCATGTGGAGAAGGGCCATTCATTCCCATGCGATAACCATGCAGGCCTCCGCCAGCAGAACCATGGTTCATAGGCATCATTATGTGTTCAGCCATGCCTTCTCAACTGCAGAGATATGCGAAGAATGGCAAATATTAAAACTAGTTCTTAGTTATCACCAGACAAACTAAATTGCTTAAGAAAAACAACAACAACACAAGAGCACATCTGTGGTACAAGCCAATGCTAGGCCATTTGTGGCTTTTAAGATAAGTATTACACACTCTAAAAATGCTGGGTTTTATTAACCTAATATTAGGTCATTATGAACAAACACAACAGCTAAAATATGTAACTTTAATGTCATTCTTTTCATATTTAATCAAACGTTAGGTTAATAATACAACCCACAATTGTTTATACCAACTGCTTTGTACTAAGTACAATATATTCCCTGCATGATTCTCTCACGTTCAAGAAAAAAAAAAATTGAAAAATTCTTTAGAAAATTACATCTTAATTTTTCCTATCCTTTTGTTTTAAACTTAATTAAGCTAATAGTTAAAGTAAGCAAATGTGTTATGGTTTATTGTATTGTTTTCATGTTTTTTATTATTTGTATTAAAATAAATGTTGAATAAGAACATGTTTACATTGGATTTTTTTTTTTTTTTTTTTGCAGCGTTCCATATGTTTTGACCCTAAAAGCACCCTATGACCCACTGTGGTTGCAAGCTTAAACAAAGACTTGAGCCCTTTGCACAAGAAATATTGCAGTAGGGAGCATCAAGGAGTCGCCGAGAGGATCAAAACAATAACAGGCAGGGAGGTGGACAAAGTGTTGAGCAAACAAAGCCAGATGCATGTGAGCAATAGATAATGGCAAAATGAATGACTGGCTAATCTACTCACATGATGAGGCAGTGTTTAAAGTTTTGAAAATGTATTTTATATTAAGGATACATTAGAAGGTGCAATGCAATAACAACAAAGTGTTCAGATGTAGGCATACTGTACATCAGATGATTTCTAGCAAAGGTAAATATAAAGCCATAACACTGTTTTCTTTCCCAAAATCATACAGCTGATGACATGGAACAGAATTTTCCTGTTTTTGTTAGTTTTCTAAAAGAACAGTCCCTTTTCATAGCTTTGTCTAGAGATGTTTGTCTTTTATTTCTTAAATCAATAATGCATCATAGCATATGCCTAAGAATGACACGTTTTGTTTTATTTATTTATTTATTTTTTTTTTGGAAGTGCAGAGTTATGTCTGCCTATGTGATCAATAGGGATAGAAATGGGAGATAAAGGATACTGTCGTCTGGGGTCTAGCCTCACCTCTGTCTACATAAAACAAAGAATTTCTCGTCTTCTATGTAAGAAGATAAAATCAGTATTTAAATGAAACATGGGCTGCAGACTTTAACAATCGTTGTCTGAACACAGTAAAACTTTCATTAACATGTCAACTAAATTTACTGTTTATTTAGAGAAAAGTTGAAGCAATTTCTTTGATATGTGTTAATGTTCACTTGAAACTAATGCGTAACAATACTGCAAATATTAAATTTTATATTATACACTGACAATAAAGTATCAATCAATTGCTCAATTCTTACTTATATATTGTCATGTAGATTATACTAAGAATTGTTTTCTGTTAAGAACAAAAGTAATAATAGAGAACATATTTAACATATTCCTAAAGAGTTTTAATATCACTTAAAAGCCAAAAAGCTAAGCCTCTCCAGCCATATGTCCAGGAATACAGCTATTTAAATGTAGTTAAGACGTGCTGATTACATAAACTACATTGACAAAAGAACAAAAGGTCCAAGTTTTTAAGTTACTACAGTGACCACAAAATATAACACACATACCGTCAAATAATCCTGTCCTCGTAAAGATGCTGTTTCGTGCAGTCAGTCTCTTTAAAGCAGCGCAGGTATCTCCAGTGACTGTACTCTGGTCTGAACAAGCGGCTGCCGCTGAGCGCTTTCTGGGTCAATACAGGGATTACACACACACACACATACATAAAGACAAGCAGCGAGAGGGGCGGAGCGACGTCAACTCCGCCTCTCCTAAGCTCTCATTGGTTATCCCTGTCATCACAGACGTCACTAGCCAATTACTCACATGGCCTTCGGTTTTATGGGCACTGGCAAAGAAACTCTTCAGCAATCACACCAACTAAAACAAAACTGAAGAGTGCTGCTTGTTGTTTAAAATGACCTCGCAAAAGCTAATTTAACAAAATAGACAGGTTTTGTTGTACATTTGGAATGAAGTAGCCTATTATGAATTATTTATCAGTTCACAAACTCCACGTGCTCTTAGCCTATAATTATTTATTAAAATAACTTCCTTTCCCTCTTAAATCTTATCTCTGCTCTGCTGACTTTAAATGGCGTGATGGTGGGTTCAACCTTCCACTCACTTCAGCAAAAGATGATCCTATTTAATCGATTCCCCATAAACAAAATGTTTCCTTTATTATTTTTTCTTGTTCAAAAAACTGTTTCATGTTGAAATATATTGATTTACTAACATGAACAAAAATAGTAAGATTTGCTAACAGGTGAATGATAAGTTAAACAAGTTTGTTCATGTTAACTCACTGTGCATTAGTTAATTTTGAACTCATTTATTTATTCATTCATTTTCTTTTCAGCTTAGTCCCTTTATTAATCTGGGGTTGCCACAGGGAAATGAACTGCCAATTTATCTAGCACATGTTTTACGCAGCGGATGCCCTTCCAGCAACAACCCATCACCGGAAAACTTATTTTGAACTATGATTAAAAAATACCTTACATTCACACTTAGTTAATGTTAGTAAATGCATTAACATTAAGTAATGGACCATTATTCTAAAGTGGTACCTGTAATTATTTTCCTCACAGTTTCAATTTTGTATAATTTTATGTCTTAGCAAACATCAGTTAGGGGAAAAAAGACTATTGCAACTTCCATTTCAGGCCATTTTAAAAGGCTTTACCAAGAGGATGTGCACAATTATCAATATTCCCAACTCGTTTCAGACAGGTACTTTTAGGTTGACCTCTTTTAGTTTGGTGCTCTTATCTAATGCACATCAACAGAAAATGGACAGAAAGCAGGTCATAATCTTGTCTCTTATGTAAATGGCATATTTACCATTTTAAAGAAAAAGACTGTGAAAAAACAGGAAAAAAAAAAAAAAAAAAACTTCCGATGGCATTAAATGTGCAAATGGATACAACAGACTGCCAGAACAAAATGAATGCCCACACATTTCTTTACACTGTAAGCTGTGCAATACCAGTCTGCATTTATATAATAAAGTGTACATTTCTTATGAACATAATATGGATATAGTCATAAATTAACTTTGAAAATTCTATTTTAAAAGTTTAAATTTGAGTTTTAAAAGTATTCCACCTTGACAAATTAATAGCGTCTTTGACAAAGGTTAGTGTGGTGCATATACTGACATACAAAAACATTTTCACACACACATGTATTCAAAACAATGAATAGTCATGCAGAAAACTCCTTACAGGGTGGAATACCTCTATTTACTCAGTCCTCCATTTGTAGAAAGGAATGTGGTGGCAGAAGTGTACAATCTCTCTCTCTCTCTCTCTCTCTCTCTCTCTCTCTCTCTCTCTCTCTCTCTCTACATTCTTCTGTTATTCTATTGTCTTCATTGTCAGTGTGTAAATTAATCTTAAATCAGCCTTGAACAGCCTGCTGACTTTAACTTTACACAGAAACACTTTAAAACCTTTTGTTTAATGTTCCCAAAAGCCCACAATAAGTTGTTAAAGGGCATAATTTGTACTTAATGTGATTAAATAGAGCAAGCATCACAGGCACCATGGTTAATGTTTTTTATTTATTTATTTATTTATTTTTATTTATTTATTTATTTTTTACTTGAACAACTAAATTCGAGAGTGATAATTGCATTTGTTAGATGAAAATCAAATACTCCTGAAATGGAGTATGTTTACATGAACACCAATAATCAGAATTTAACACAATTAAGGCAAAACTCTGATTAAGAGTCTACTATGTAAACAGCAATTTTTGATGACCATAATCCGACTAAAGTCATAATCTAACGACAAAAATGAAATTTAGACATGTGGAGTATGCCTTTCCCATAGATGGGTTGCAGCTGGAAGGGCATCCGCTGCATAAAAAACTGCTGGATAAGTTGGCGAATCATTCTGCTGTGGCGACCCCAGATTAATAAAGGGACTAAGCCGAAAAGAAAATGAATGAATGAATTAATGGAGTATGCCGATTTTAGTCGCATTAATGAAATGCAGTACTGCCATGTAAACACTGCAATCCAACTGTTACTGTCATGTAGGATTTTTGCTGCATTTGCGACAGGATAGTCTATACACACACGACTGTTTGACAACATTTTCTGCACTTACAGAATCAGTAAAGGACTACAGACACCTGCATGGTGAAATGCATGAAATGTTCCTGAATAAAAGTGAAAATGCCAAACTGCAATAAAAGTCGACAAATTAAAAATGAAACAGTCAAAATTACATGAAAATCTGGAAGAAATGTGGATAGTGTGGTGAGGCAATGACGTTAATCGAATTATGTGCTAACATGTAAACAGGATCATGAAAGAAACATTTAAAAAAGCAACTCATGTAAACACCTTAATCATATTATTGTCTTATTCAAATTAAGGCAAATAGTTTGATTGATGTCCATGTAATTTAATAATTTGATGTCCAATAATCCAATAATTTGATGTCCATGTAAATGTAGTCAGTGTTGCTTATTAAAAAAAATGCTTTTGCTTTTCTTAAAAAAATTAATTCATTCATTTTCCTTCAGCCTTTAATAACCCAGGGTTGTCACAGAAGAATGAACCGCTAACTTATTCAACATATGTTTTACACAGCGGATGCCCTTCCAGCTGCAACCCATCTCTGGGAAACATCCATACACACTCATTCACACTCATACACTACGAACAATGTAGCCTACTCAATTCACCTGTACCACATGTCTTTGGACTGTGGGGGGAAATCGGAGCTCCCACACACACCTCAGGGAGAGCATGCAAACTCCACACAGAAATGCCAACGGACCTAGCCAAGGCTCAAACCATTGACTTACTTGCTGTGAGACGACAACATTACCTACTGCACCACTGCATCACCTTTTTTCTTAAAAACCTAAAAGTATATAGAGTAACAGTAGACCATGAACCAGAATATCATAGAAGAGATTTATTTTGACATGTTATCAGTAATTAATCACCTAGTAACCATCTTGTAAGACCCTGGCAACCACCCTAGCAACTGCTCATCAGTGTCTTAGCCACCACCCACAACACCAAAGTCCAGTGATTTTTGTCCACCTCTCACATATTCTTTATAAATCTCCCTGAGATTTTGTTTCTCCACATGTACCTTTCAAGTAGGTGCTCAGAGCTAAAAACCAATTTATTTTGATATTCCATGTGGGTTGTCAAAATGTGTCAAGAGCGATTTGAGCGAATGGCCTAAGTAATGCAATAACAAGATAAAATTAAATCTTCTAAATCTGGATATAGTTCACCACAGAGTATTGCAGAGGACCACAATGGCCTATTTAGAATATAACAAAACAGCATTTGGTGAAGTGAAGTGTGCAATTTTCTTTATTATCATTTTTTGGCTCAGGCAAAGCCATAGGTGTTTGCAAATATTATTATTATTTCCAAACAAGTTTCCGAAACACCTCACCCTTCATCAGTTGACTCTAAATTTGCAAAATACTTGCAAAATGCTGGCAAAATGGCACATTTCATCTTTAAAGTTGCCAAGTAACCAAGTGCCTACAAGTTGCTTGCAGATTAACACTGTTTTGGTCAAGCTGGCTTTGGTTTCTCTTCTTTGTGGATATATCTTAAAAAAGTATTCAAATAATGTATATAGGTTAAGCACATATAGATGAATAATGGAGGTATGTACGGTGGCTGGGAAGGGCAAAACAATATTACAAAGTGTGAAACTTTTTTATGAAGACAATTTTACAATTTGGAAAACATGTTTACCCATCTTAAAACAAAAGGGATTTTACCAAGGACAAAACAAACTTACATTTTAGAAAAAAAATTAACAAGACGCAAAACAATTTTACCTGTCCCGAAACAAATTAACAATGACATATTCTTTACTGAAAGGGAATAGACCACACACTGGAAGTAATGCGGAATGTACCACACACTGGAAAATATCAGCTTGTGTGTGACTTTGTAGACACAGGGTAACATGAGTCTACAACAAAAAAAAAAAACATGGTTTTAAAAAATATAAGCATGAGAGTATAAAGAAACAAAGCACGAGCATGGAAACAAGTTAACAAGAGTCCACAACCAAAGCACAACATATGTTGACTGATAAAAATATCAAAAATGACTTTAATGTGTAGTCCTGGATACCTCAGATCATAGATGATAGGTCATTTCATATTCATGCTGAACCTTTTGACTTGGGTTCGAATCCCATTGATGACACGTAATTTTTATATTTATTTTTTTTACGTTAATTTTGGTTATGTTCTGTTCTGCCACACAAATATTAAAATCAGTAAGGTTTGCAGTGACACTGGCACCAAGTAATAAGAATATTTATTTTGGTATGAGCTAGAGCTGTAATTGGGCCATTAAAATTAGGCCCGATCAGGCCCGAGCCCGACAGAATTCGACCTGAGCCTGACAGGTACATTTTGATTAACAGCTTTTTAAAACCCCGAACCCGTTTATAGCCCAACATTATTCAAATGAGCACATGCACACAGCTCTTTTGCCTTTTTTCAAGAATAAGTCATTTATATGTTTTAACATGATTTATTCATAACAAACATAGGATATAGGCCACTTGGAACAAAGAAATAAAACAAGTCCTCTGTAACATTGTAACATCTCAACACTCTGAATAGGTTTAGGTACATACACTTAGCCTTTAAACTGGCCAACACACCAATGAAAAGAT